GACATCAGAAACCACAGCCTAACTTTTAGGGGCTCTGGGCTCCACGAGAGATGTCACCAACCCCCATTCCACCCAAGGCTCCATGGCTTGCACAGACCCTGTGGTAAATACATCTGTAGAGACGTCACAAAGTAAGATCAAGAAAAAGAACTACTAGTATTCAGTGAATAATAGGACAGCAGGGTGAAGGATGAACTCAAGATGGCCCCAAATGGCCAAAGGACTGTGACGCCTGCCCCACCCTCTACTGCCCAGCTGGGAAACCTGGGAGCCACAGGAAACCACAGGGTCCTGCTGGCTGGCAGAGTGCCGTGTGCAAAGAGGAAAGTAGACGTGCAGTCTGAGAAATGACAATGAGGACACATGGACATCAGTGCAGAGCTCAATTCAGGGGTGTTTATTGGTCAGTTTACCGAAGTGCATCAGGGTTGGAGACTGATGGAGGCTGAGCTGGTCCTCAGGAGGGTGGGAGACGTGGAAGGGGCACTGCCATGAAGACTTCCTAGGAGCCCCTCCAGAGCCATTGCATTGAGTCTGGTCCTTTAGTTCTTCCACGTGTCCAGCTCAGCAGCAGGCTGGACCAGCAGTCACCAGGTCTAAGTGCTGGAGCATTTCAGGATGGGGAGTCAGTTTCCAGATGGGGGCAGCCTCCTGACGTGGGCTGGGACTGGATGCGGGGTGGCTGGGAGAGCCACAGTCCTGCGGTGGGACCTAAGCCAGGCTGGCCCTGGGAGATGTGCCCCGTCAGCAGCAGGACTTCTGGCCAAGGCAGGGACTCAGCAGGCTGGGCGGAAGCACACAGGGCGGCAGAAGCAGGAGGATGGGCGGTAGCAGCTGGGGCGGTAGCAGCTGGGCCGGCAGGAGAAGGCAGGGCCGCAGCAGGAGAAGGCGGGGCCACAGCAGGAGGAGACAGGCACACAGCAGGCAGGCCTGCACACAGGGCGGTAGGTGAGGGACACGCAGGAGGAGGACCTATAACAGGACGAGGTGCAGGCCGCAGCAGGAGAAGGCGGGGCCACAGCAGGCAGGCCTGCACACAGGGCGGCAGGTGAGGGACACGCAGGAGGAGGACCTGTAGCAGGATGAGGTGTAGGAGGAAGGTCGATAGCAGGATGAGAAGTAGGAGGAGGGTCCGTAGCAGCTCAAGGGGGCTGCGCAGAGCGTGGCCCTAGAACAGATAGGCCTGCGGCACACCCGTTTACAGCAGACTGGCACACTGCAGGAGGTGCAGCAGGAGGGCTGGCAGCTAGACTGCTGGCAGCATGAGGGTGTGCAGGAGCTGGTGCAGGCTGATTGGCAGGGGCTGGATCCACAGGCCACCTGGCAGCAGGGGCTGGACACACAGCTCACTGGGGCACAGACAAGGGTCAAGCATGAGGCTGGGGCACAGCAGGTGGGGACACAGCAGGTGGGCTGGCAGCAGCTGGGGACACAGCAGGTGGGGACACAGCAGGTGGGGGCACAGCAGGAGGGCTCACAGCAGCTCTCTGGACAGTCGTCCGCCTGCCAGGAAGATTCAGTACAAGAGTCACAGGACCCGGGCAGGCAGGCACGGCTGCTGTAGCTCAGGTCACTGGAACAGACGGACAGGGCGGATTCGGCCATGGTGGGGCAGTGGGGCTGGAGGAGGTGTGAGCGTGGGAGTGAGTGTGTGAGTGTGTGGGATGCTGAGGGCCGTCCAGCTTTTATGCCCCTGCCTGGCTGAGTATGTTGTCCCAGCAGCAGGCTCACGCGTCCCTTCCTTGTTGACAGTGAGAGTGGCCCCTGGAGAGTCAGCAGCAGATGTTTTCTTCCCGGGAGGCATTGCTCAGCTCACAGAACTCTTTACCTTGGCGTGGGGTGCGTTTACCTGTTTATCGTCCTGGAAATAAATCTTGTCTTGATGTGTTAGCGGGAGCACTGGGGGCCCAGGCAGAGCCAGGGTGTGTGGGCGGCTAGATCTGGCCCCTGGTCGGGGGAGCCCCGAGGTTGCTGCCCTGCGGGCGGAACCAGGTCGTGTGCCTTGTGGTTGGAGGTGTATTTAGTTTCTAAACAAAGACAGTGTGAGTCATAATGTGCACGCGACACTGTGTCGGTGTCCTGGGGCTGCGTACCAAGCACCGTACACAGCGGGCCTCGCACCGCAGAAACACATTTGTTTCAGTCTGGAGGGAGCAGCCCCAGGTCCCGGTGCCGGCAGGGCTGGTTCTGAGGCTGTGAGGGAGCGCCTACCCCCCGTGCTCTCCCCCAGCTTCTGGTGGCCACCGGCCATCTTTGGGTTCCTCGGCTTGTAGAAGCAGCACCCGGATCTCCGCCTCCGTGTTCACAAGGCCTTGTCCGTGCGTGCCTCTCTGTCCAAATTCCCCCTTTTCGTAAGGACATCGGCCATACCGGATTAGGACCTCATTTGAACTTGACTGTATCTGCAAAGACCCTGTTGCCAGATAAGGTCACATTCGCAGGTCCTCGGGAAAGGGGTGTGGCAACATTTGGGGATGCAATTCAGCCATCACAAGCACTCCGATGGTCAAAGTTGGGGTGACACAATGCCAGGGTCAGGGGTGGAAGGAGAGGTTGAGCAGGTCTCCTTTCTTGGGGCTTTGGGTCTGCGGCAGGTGAAGGACAGGGTGCCGGTAGCACGCACCTGACTTCTGCTTGTCCACGTACGGCTTGAGCTCCTGGGATGATATTTTTAAGTTTATTTTATCAAATTATCATAAAAAGAGGACAGAGAATTTACCTATACCCCTCGCCCAGCTTCCTCTGGTGTCACCATCTTACATAGCCATAGATCAATTACCAAATTTTAGAAACCACACTGGTGTTCATTAAAGGACTGACTGTATTCGAGTCACCAGTTGCCCACAAACGCCCTCCCTCCGTTCCCTAACCCCGCATGGCACTTGTCAGGTCTCCCTCTTCTCCTGCCTGGGACATTCGCTCAGTGCCCTTTGCACTATGACCTTGACACTTCCGAGGAGCGCTGGTCTGGTGGATTGTAGACTCCCTCAAGTTGGGTTTGTCTGATGTGTTCTCACAGTTCGTCTGGGGCTGCTGTATTTGGGGGCAGAATCTCACAGAAGTCATGTGTCCGGTGAAGCAGAGCTGCAGGCTGTCCACGTGTCTTATCTCTGGGAATGTGACCATTTGCCCCTCTGTCATTAGTACATATGGGGGGAGATTTTTTAAGACTTTGCAAATATGCGGTTTCTACTGAAACCTCTGCTCAATGGCTTCATGGTTGGTCTGGGGCCTGCGGACAGCCAGTCCCCGCAGCGTTCTCATGGTGATTTTCCCCCTCCTCCATCCATCGCCATTTCCTGGCTAAAATTCTTCTCTAAGAAAGAGTGGTCCCTTCTCCTCCATTTGCTTATCTGTTGTTATTTATTTCAATGTGAACTAAAAAGTACTTATTTTATTGAGTTTATGGCAACGTTGTCATTTTCTATTTTTGTTGCTCGAATCACTCCAACTTAGACCATTGGGGGCTTCCTCGTTTGGCTCTTGGGCCCGGTGGGCCTGCCACCCTCCCTGACGTCTCACGTTCTGGTGCGAGCTCACCTGGAGTTTCCCCTGTCCCCTCCCTGGAACCAACCACTTCTCCAAGGAGCACTGGTCCCGTTTAGTGGATAATGGCGTGTAGAGACCAAGGTCTGGAGCCAGGTGTGCTCACTGCTGCTGCGTGTCGCTTCCCCCAGGCCCTCCCCGTGGACAGGGCAAGGAGGCACATGTACGTGGACTCACACGTGCCTGAACTTGGGAACACGTTTAGTCTTTCCCGTATGGACCCTGTTAGCTGCAGTGTTTTCTAGTTCAGCTTTCTCAGGCTAGAAGTTCCCTTTTATTGCTGAGAGATTCTATCAAGAACGGTGTTGGATTTCATGAAATGCTTTTTTGTGAGGGATTTTTTTGTGTGGGTGGTTAATCCTCACTGGGGATATTTTTTCCACTGATTTTAAAGAGAGTGGAAGGATAAGATTTCCTTCCCCCCATCTGGCTTACAGTTCAGACACTTGGCCTCACAGCCCCTCTCTCCAGCATCAACTGCTGCCCACCATTCTCATTGGTGTTGCCTGACTCTGTGTTTCCTACAAAAATGGCTGGAAATGAACCCAAGACTCCTCCACGGCCCTTTTGGGCAACAGCCCAAGAAAGGCCACTGCTTCAACCCCAAAGGGCAGGTGTCCTTGGGACTTCTGGATCATCCATGGGCCATTGTGCTTTGCAGGGACACGTGTCTGCCCGACTCCTGAAGTCTGGTCCAACGTGACTGCAGTGGGCAGCGTGTGCCTCATGCCCAGTGCAGGGCAACGCCGAAGCTGTCCTTTCTGACTGGTCACCTGTGTCCTTGCCCATATTCACAGAGGAGAGGCCTGAGGAGGGTTGCATGCGGGCAGGGACATAATCACACCTCCTGGTATGCCAGCCTGGGCTGGGCATGGCAAGATGAGCTGGGACGGCTGAGGGAACACCGGGACCTAGAAAACGCTGTTCATCATGCCAGCAGGGAATGGTGGCATCGGTCCTGGTACAGGCAGGAAAAGAGCGCCCACTCTAGGTGTGTGCAGGGGGGCAGACCAGCCAGTGCCTGTAAACTGCCTGGGACGGAGGAGCCTGGCATGGCTGGGGCTCCTCACTCTGTCAGTCTCAGCTGCAGGGACCACTGTTGTGTCCCCATGTCTGGTTGGCGATGTGGCACTGCTGAGGGCACTGGGGATGCCACACTTGACCTCTCATCTCTCAGCCCCAGATGCCTTATGTGTGTGAGCCTGTCCCCTGTGGGACCATGCACTCCCGGGGTCCAGGGCTGGCACTTGTCCCTCAACACAGCCAGCACAGCCTGGTTGTGGGGGTGGGCAGGAGAGGTCACCGGCAGGCCCAGGTGGGTGGTTAACTGGCGATAATCGCGATACCAGCCCTTGGGGTCCTTGCGAGGATTCTGTACCATCTGAGACCCGGCCAGCCACACGGCTGCCCTGTAAACATCCTGGCATAACCCGCCTGTGATTTCCTTGACACAGATCTGCGCCCCCTGGACATCCTGGCAGAGGCGGTCCCTCCGAATGGCGCTGAGAGCGGCATCAGCGTGACACGGGTTCAAGGGGCGCTGGGACTCCAGCTCTCCAGCCCCCACGCCATGAGCTTCCCCGCTTCGAGGATTTTCGTCAGATGTGACCTCTTCCCTGAAGAATTTTCCATCGTTGTAACCTTGAAAGCTCCCCCTCTCCCCCCGAAGGTCAGTGACGCTTCTCATCTGCGTGTTAGGACAGTGGATGTCCTCAGTGCAGCGTGCGAAGGGCACGGCTGACTCAGGGGCAGGAGGCACCGATCAAGGTCTCCCAGGCCGTTGGGGTCAGTGTGCCGGCCTTGATGGGTAGCAACGTCCCCGTCACTTGGAGTGGGCAGGCAGAGCCGGTGCGGCCATTTGCTCAGGGTTTGTACTAGCAGTTCTTGCTGTTATAATTTTCCTGGTGTGCTAACCTGTCAAAGGCTGGGCTGGAAATACTGCTTAGAGTTTTGAGTTTGACATCATTTAACAGGAAAAGTAAACTGTCAACTAACAAAACTTACCCTTTGGGGCCTGATTACCTGTGCCTTGCGGTCCATCCACCCCACACCCAGCTAGCACCGCCTCCTCCCGGCTGGGCTGGGAGCCCCGGAGAGGGATGTGGCACCTCCCGCCGCCGTTCCCTGTGGGTTCCAAGGCACCGCGCCTCCTAGGCGTGTGACAAGCCCTTTCTGTTGACAAGCCCAGGTCCTTGCTCTGCCATCACCGTGATCCTCCTTGTGGGTTTTGTCTGTGGACTGTGATTCTGTCTGATCTGTCCCGGGACTTCCGCTCACTAACCTCTCTCCTTTCGCTCCATCGAATCCGCTGTCACACCCCACTGCTGAGTTTCCTACCGCAGCCATTGTGTTTTCAGTCCTGTCATTTCGATTTTCTTCTTTTTTTATATGAACTCCAGTCCCAGGATAAAGTCTCTGTCTTGTCAGCTACTTTCTTCAATGTGACTCCTATATTTATAAGCAAGAATTCCTCTCTGCGGAGGACTCCCATTGTGGCTTCCCCAAGGACTGGCCCTGCTTCATCTTTTCACTTCTTGCCATGCCCAGTCCTTTTTAACAGCCTGATGGAGACACGATAAACATACCACACATTTCACCATTTACCGTCACAATTCAGTGATGTGTAGTACATGGAACTGGCAGGACCAACCCTCATCACTGTGAATTTGGACATGTTCATCACCCCCAAAACAAGCTCTGCAGAATTTAGCTCTGACCTGCCCCCCGACAACTCATTTACTTTCTGTACCCATAGGTTTGCCTGGTCTAGACATTTCATATAAATGGAATCACATAATATAGAGCTTCTTCCGTGGAGTATGTGCTTAATACCGTACATATTGTAGCACATGTCAGTGCATCATTCCTTTTTATGACCAAATCGTATTCATCGGTACAGATGCGCTACAATTTGTTTATCTGCTCATGGGTTGACGGGCACTTGCGTTCTTTCTCCCTGTTGGCTGCTGTGAGTAATGCTGCTATGAACATTCAGGTACATGGTTTTGTGTGGACAAACATCTTTATTTTGGAGCTTAAACACCTGGGAGTGGGATAGCTGGCTCATGGTGACTCTATGATTCACTTGGAGGAACAGGCGGATTGCTTCCTGAGGCAGCTGAGCCATCTTACACTCCCACCAGCAGTGACTGGGGGTTGCGGTTTCTCCACAGCCTCGTCAACACTTGTTATTGTCTGACTTTTGTATTTTAGCCGTCCTCATGCGCCTGAAACAGTATTGCATTGAGGCTTTGATTTGCATTTCCCTGATGAATAATGATGTTACGTGTTTTCCGTGTGTGAATTTGTGTATCTTTTTTTGGAGAAATGTCTTTTCAAATCCTTCACCCAGTTGTTGTTGTTTTTTAATCCTCATCCAATGGTATGTTTTTATTGATTTTGAAAGAGAGAGAGAAAGGAGAGGCATCAATGTGAGAGAGTAACGTCGATCGGTTGCCTCCTGTACTGTGGGTTCCAAGACAACGCACTTCCTAGGCATGTGACAAACCCTTTCTGTTTCCAAGTCCAAGCCTTTGCTCTTCCATAAGCGTGACTGGGGATGGAACCTGCAGCCTAGGTATGTGCTCCAACTGGGAATCAAGCCCACAACCCTCTGGTGAAAGGGACGATGCTCCAGCCAACTGAGCCACCTGGCAAGGGCCCTTTGCCCAGTTTTTTATTGCATTATTTTAGTTATTTTCCTTTTTTATTAGTGAGTTATATGAGTTTATATATTCTAGATAAAGTCACCTGTCACATATGATTAGCACATATTTTCTCCTGTTCTGTTGGTTGTCTCCTCACTTTCTTGGTAGTGCCTTTGAAGCACAAAACCACCTTTTAATTTTGGTAGAGTCAGATTTATCTTAGTTTTCCTTTCTGGCTTATATTTTTAGTGTCATATCTTAGAATCTAGCACCAAATCTGAGGTCATGAAAATTTACCCCAATGCTTTCTTTTAAGAGTTTTATAGCTTTACCTCTTACATTTAGGTCTTTGGCCAATTTGAGTTAATTTTTTGTATATGGTATAAGGTAGGGGTCCAATTTCTTTCTTTTTGCCTATGGATTTCCAGTTGTCCCAACCCCATTTGTTGAAGAGACTATTCTTTTCCCATTGAATGGTCTCGGCACCTTGTTGAAGTCAGTCAGCCATACATGTATGGGTTTATTTCTGGACTCTCAATTTTATTTCATTGATAAATCAATATTGTCTGTCCTTATGCCAGCACCACACTGTTTTGATTCCTATAGCTTTGTAGTAAATTTTGAAATTGGGAAGTGTGAGTCTTCCAAATTTGTTCTTTTTCGAGATTGTTTTGGCTATTCACTCCTTGTAACTCCATATGAATTGTAAAATCAACCTGTCAACCTTTACTAAGAAGTCAGCTCAGGCTCTGAGAAGGACTGCACAGATATGCAGATAGATCGAGGAGTGTTGCCTTCTTAGCAATATTGTCTTCTGATCCATGAACATGGGATGTTTCTCATTGATTTAGAACTTCTTTGATATAAAAACAATGCTTTGCAGTTCTCAGAATATGAGTTTTGCAGTTCTTTTGTTCCTGAGTACTTGTTCATCTCATCTAGTTTATATCATGTATTGGTAAGTCATCAAAGGGTCCAAGTTCTCCCCTCTCTCCTCACCCTGCTCCAATTCCTGCACCTTGTCAGTCCCGTGAAAGGACATGCCCATCTGGTTGATAAACTTTCCTTCCTTACACCATATACTTACTCACGTTCTCTGTCCTGATCCTAGTGCAGTGTGGTGGGCGCTGAGGCGCAGGGCGCATGCACAGGACTCCTGACATAACCTCCTGTGACCTTTCATGGGAAAAGAGAACCAGAAAAAGCCAGGAGTCCAAGTGTGGCATGGCCATGGAGCAGCCACCCTGTGCTTGCCCGGCACCTCCACATGCACGCACGGCCGATCATAAGGCCTCTGGGGCCCAGTGCTGCTGGAACCCACTCCCACACCTGCCCTCTCCTCCTTGGCACCCCATGGCCCTCCCTCCTGGTGTGGGGTCCTGGGGGTGGTGAACACAGTGTTTCCTTCACTCTCAGCTGCTGTTTATCAAAGGGCTGTCCCTGTGGGCACCACCGGAAGTCCCTCAGGAGAAAGCCCCATGACAGCGTGGTTGGTATACACGCAGGCACCATCCCTCATGCACCTCAGTTCCACCCAGGCTACTCTTGGCCACTGACCAAGCACAGCAGGGGACCTGCAGGGCACATGTCTCCTCTCACAGGCCTCTTTGCTCCAGGAACCCCCACCTGTTGGAGGCCTTCTCAGAGCTATGTTGTGGTCTGAGGTGCTGCTCACCAGGCCTTCTTTCCTCCACATCCGCATCCGCTCAGAGGAGGCAGCTGAGTCTCGGCCCACTTGGGCTCCCTTCGCCTGCTTGGCTCCTCCCACCTGCTCAGCTCATCCTCACTCTCTCATGGCCATGCCTGCAATAAATCCCTGGCAGAGCTATCCTGCTGGCATCTGCTCCGTAGAGAACCCACGCTGACAAGTGAACCATTGTTCTTATAAAGAAAGAGAGGGCCGGGCCAGTGTGGCTCAGGGGTTGAGCATCGACCTATGAACCAGGAGGTCATGGTTCAATTCCCGGTCAGGGCACATGACAGGGTTGCAGGGTGGCGGGCTTCATCCCGAGTGGGGGGTGTGCAGGAGGCAGCCAATCTATGATTCTTTCTCATTATTGATGTTTCTATCTCTCTTCCTTTCCCGTCCTCTCTGAAATCAATTAAAAATACATTTAAAAAAAAAAAAAGAAAAGAAAGAGAGGGAGGGAGAAAGAAAACATGTCCAGTTTAGCTATGACCCAATAGTAGATCAATATTCTTGTACATGATACGTGAAAAATTCACGCCAACTTCTTGTTGCCTGTAAATTACTCCAATCTGTTCTAAGAAGATTCTGGCAAAAATTTCTCCTCCATTTGCATGTAGCTCAGTTTAAAAACGTAACGTCTTGCCTAGCTGGCGTGGCTCAGTGGTTGAGTATCAACCTATGAACCAGGAAGTCACGGTTCAATTCTGCCTTTTATTTCTCTGTCTCGCCCGATTGCTGTGGCTAGAACTTCTAGGACAATGTTGAATGGAAGTGGTGATAGTGGGCATCCTTGTCTTGCTCCTGATCTTAGAGGAAAGGCTTTCAGCTTCCCACCACTGCGTGTGACATTAGGTGTGGGTTTGTCGTGTACGGCCTTTATTATGCTGGGATATGTTCCTTTTACACCCACTCTGTTGAGAGTTTTTATCATAAAAGGGTGTTGAATTGTGTCAAATGCTTTTTCTGCATCTATTGAGATGATCGTATGGCTTTTATCCTTTATTTTTGAGTGGGATATATGCAGTAATTGATTTATGGGTGTTGAGCCATTCTTGCATCCCTGGGATGAATCTCACTTGGTCATGGTACATAATTCTTTTAATGTATTGTTGTATCTCACTGGCTAATATTTTGTTGAGAATAGAACACCATTCTTTTTAAGTGCATGAAAAACAGGGACCAATATAGACCACATTTACTAAGATAAACCACATTGTGGGCTGTAAAACATGTCTCAACAAATGTAAAAGAATTTAAATTACACAGTGCATGGTCTCTCATCACAATGTAATTAAATTAGAACCTCAGTATTAAAAAGATTATGTGAAGCCC